AATCATTTAACTTCTCTATTTCTCAGTCTATCCATTTACAAAGATGAATGTCCTAAGGGTTGGTCTTTCCTTTGAAATGTAGAAAGTGAAATAAAGTGCTGATCCTGGAGTTACACATATTAAAACCATGCTCCTGTCCTCAAGCTTGCATCCCTTCTGAGCAGACAGATTAATTGCTATTCTCTTATAGATTAACCAAGGGTCAATCCCACCAAGAGTTGACTAGAGGAGTCACTAAAACTTTGTGTACCTTGCCATATATCCTGATAATTTTGAGGAACATTTTACACTAGTTGCATGAACAGTGCTATACATTCAACTACTCTGGTCAGAATGGTGTATCAATTTATTATTGGTTTTCAAGGGCTGGCAACAGCTGAATCACCTGTGAATCTTTGTAAACTCAGTTAATCCCAAGACATTCTAATTTAAGGTTTGGAGGGAGGAGCAAGAATTGCATTTTGAAGAGTTCCTAATTTTGTATTTTTTTCTTGCTGATGAATCAGTGGCATAAATCAGGCCTTAATCCAGAACCCAGCTGTAATCTTAAAGTGGAACCTGTTAGTCTGCAAGAGGCTCTTCACTGTAATTCCACTGTAATCAATAATGAGAATGTGCTTCACAGTGGAAAAGCATCTAGTCAAATATCTGTTTTCAATAAGTCATTACAAGAAATGGTTTGGAAATACTGCATAATACACTGATGACATTCTTAGATGTTTTCTATTTCAAATGTTTTCTCTAGGTGGCAAAGCAGGCAGAGTGTGAAGGAGTCATAATTACTTATTTTGGTCCTTGGCATCAACTTCTCTGTGGCTTTGATTTATTGGGCCACAGAATCCAGACAGATCAAACAGCTAGTCCAAAGTCCCCAGATCCCCAGGTCCTGAGGTGTTTTGTTGGGATTCTTCAATCACATCTACACAGCCCCAACTCTGTTGTTAAGCAAAACTTCCATTATACACATTCAGGAAGGAGTAGAAGCTATATAGAAACATATATATTGTCTGGTGTTCTCAAATAATTACAGGAAAAAAGGATTTGAGATCTAGAATTACATAAGACATTTTTCAGTTTGTCATCCTGAAGAAAGGAAAAGCCACCAAAGTAATTAGCATTTGTATACCTTCTTAGCACGTTGAACTAAGTGTAGCAATCTTAATTATGCCATTAAAATTAGGAATAATATGGAAAGGATTTAACTCAAGGGACTCCTGCTAGAAATTATACATAAGGAAAAGTACATAAAGATTTTCAGCCCTAAATTCTAAATTAAGCATACATATTACTACAAGTTTTATTAAGATAATAGATTTTTGGATAAGATTTCAGTTGCCAAATGTGAAACATCAGTAACTAAACTGATTTATCAAATGGTGATATAGTAAGACAGTTTTCCATCATTTCTAGGGAACATATGGGCCAGTATCAGTGCACTGATAGGCAAGCATCTCCTTTATTGTTTTGTGCTGAGAAATATTTTTCTTCTTTTCTTTTTGTCCTTCCCAGGCCCAAATCTCTTTCCTTTCATTTGATACTGACAAAGCCAAGATGAAGAGTCATAATTTCTCCAGTAATTATCTTGCAGTGGCAAATCACTCTTCCTCTTGGTAGGGCCATTTTCTCATTGGAAAGTCAGGAATTAGGATTGCAGAACTCAGACTCTTCCCTTTCCAGGGTCCTAGCACACGACAATGTTCCTGCTTCCATGGGCCTCAGGCCAACAACGCGTTACCACCTGAGTGCCACAGAAGAAATATTCTTTCATTCCACAACTTTCCCACCAAGTTGGGTAAGCTGGGTTTGTCTGGGCACTCATATTCATGGCTAGCTGGTGGCCTGTGCACAGAAAACTGGGAGGGAGAGCTCTTCCTGGGGGCTGTCCTTGCAGGTGCCTGACATCATCAAGGTCATAGACAAATGGCACAGTGATCACAGTCAGCACCACTGGGTACACACTTACTACTAAACACACTTTTATAATGGACATCTAAGACACAGACACATGGCAGAAGAACCACATATGCTTTAATCATCGACCATAGGCATGAGAGGAGAAATTCTCGAGATCACCTTTAATCCTGTTTCCCCAGGATCTACATCTGCACATGACACATAATGATTAACTGGAGAGAATTGTGGGTCTAGTATTAAGCAGGCTGCCAAATTTTTGTGGATTGTTCCCTTCTGTAACTTGGTCATTTGTGGTGGTGTCATGGGCAGACAGCCTTGGGGAGATTGATGGTGAAATGTTTTCCTGTAGCTGGAAGTGTGTTCTGCCAGAAGTATTTAAAAGGAAAAAAGCTGCTGTCACACAGAATGTATTTAGCCTAGAACCAGAAAGTAAGGGCAGTGCAAAACCAGGGGTACACATCTGTGGCTGAATCATGGGCGACTCTGCTCCGCCCAGTTTACTGCTCATGACCACATAAGCCTAGGAGACACGGGTGAACCAGCAAGCTCTGGTTCCTGACACCACTACCTTCTGATTGGGATACATGGGACCTGCCATTTTTCATCATGATGATGGTCATATGGCTTTAATCTTTGAATTAATATTTAACAACAAGAAGGGATCTTGTGTGCTTAGCCAGTGGCTTTGTTTCTATGCTGAAACTGTAGATATGATCATAGCTAACAATGAAAATACTCTAACAGTAAAAGCTGCCACTGTTGAGTGCTTACTTGATGTTGACAAATGGGATAAATGCTTTACTAGCAGGTTGCATGTAAACATTATGCAATAAAGGGATGCAGGTTGTTAATGGAGAATTGCAGGAGGGTTTGGAATGTTCTTCACCAAATGTTTTAACAAAGAGAAGTGTGGACTTTTGCAATCAGCACCAAGAAATACTGCTTAGCAGCAGGGATGAGCTGACCTCTAAGCTCTTCTAGTTCTGAAGAAAAGACCATTTCCCCCTTATTCTGAGTTCCTATTAGATTTACAATTGGGATGATGGTGGCAGTGAGGCAGGAAAGTCTCCCCACTCTAAGATTAATTAAGATGGAGCAACCATGCATTAAGATTTTTAAACTATCCCTCTGAACTTAAAAAAACAACAAAAATGCTGGCATTGTGATGAGAGTCAAAATTAAACAGTCCACTTTGGAACAATGAACTGGTTTTAGGGATTTTGCTTTTTTGCTCCTTTAACCTTCTGATTAAACTTTCTATGCATCTTTATGCAGTAAAAACTGGGCATATTAGAACTAAAACCCCAGAGTCAATACCTCACTGGCATTAATAGTACTTAGCTATAACCAAATGAGCTAACTACACAGGGACAGCTAGCTACAGACTTGTGTCAGTTAGCAATCTCACAATGACCCTAACCAAGGATCTCCAGAATGGTGATACATTATCAATAACCTTTTTCAAGCTCTTTAAAGTGACACTGAAGGAATAAAAATGATGTGGTTTTGATTCCCATAAAGTTGTGCCACTGAATTTTAAAATGTTTTTATTTATCTTGCCTTAACAGTTATTTCAGATGGCTGTTTTTTATTTCCTATGTCAAAATATCTGTCTCTATTTTTTCCCATCTGTTTGGATAATTGACATTCACATGACATTGTAAGATGTGTCATCATTGGTGCTGAAGTGAGTGGTTTTTCTTTCACTAGCTAATATGTGGATCTATGAAAGCCACTCTGATTTTCTTCCTGAAAAGAACAAAACAGCTTTAGCACTGGGAAGAACATGACTGTCTTTGCTTATTGTATTTGGTTTAATTTTAGGCATGATTATACCTTTCTAAAGAAGGGTAATATGCTGATGAGTGAGCTACACCAATTAGTGTTAACTACATTTGTCACACTGCAAACAGTTTAGAAGAAATTTCTGGAAAAGAATGAGCTATACCACTCAAACGCAAGACAAATGTGCTTGACTGGCACTTGGAAACAAAAAAGAAACTCTTATTAAAATTTAACATCAACTTGGCCAGACTTTGGACTGAATTAGAAAAACAAAGTGCTACTCAGTAAAAAACTAAGGATGAGAGTGATGTGGTTTCTACTTGTAAGGCTGAAATAATGAAAAGGAGGATGGCTAGCTAATTCCTTCATGACAGATCTACACATTCTCAAATTCCAAGGGCTATTTAGTACCAAGTCTTGCCCCTGTACAATGGCTTTTTTCTTTGGAAATGCTTAGTCTATAGGCATATAGATATGATTTCAGTGGAGATAGGGAATGACTAGTGTTTAAAATGTCTCAAAGTGAACAGTTCTGGATTGGTGGTAGAGTACACCATGCTAAGACCATTTCACCCCAGAATTATTCACATGGGGAGTGCCCGGCCAACATCAGGCATTTTCATCACTCCAACCCTGCTGATTCTTAAGGATCTGAACAGGTAACATGGTTATAACTCTGCAGCATGTATGGATACTATAACCATGTTTAAACATTCTTTATTTTTCTGTATGTGTCCCAGACTATTTAGCTGACTCAGTGAGAAGATGCCCAGCCCAATGCTTGGACTGGCACTGTTGAGGCAGGCTGGAGGGCTCTTGCAGATGAGGCCACAGTGCTATCATCTGCATTAGTCGTACTCATGCCAAGACAAGTAACACCATGCACGCCACAGGTTTTCTTTCAGATAGTGAAAGACAAACTGCATTGTATTCCACTCACTCCAGAGACCACCCTGCTGCTGAATGACCATATGGACAAGGAAGGCCTTCATAAGGCGTTTTACAAAACTAATCACGTGGGGATTCATCATGATTTGCTCGGTTTATGAAATAGCAAAGTGATCCACAGCCTTGAACACATCAAATACAAGTGCAACACATACAAGCAAAGCTAATTTGAGAAGATTCCTAGCAAATTTTTAAACTCCATTGTGATGGGGCAAGGGACATGATTGTAGGGAGAGGAAGAGACATGATAGGAGGGAAGGGGGGAGGGGAGGGGAGGGGAGGAGAGAGAGAGAGAGAGAGAGAGAGAGAGAGAGAGAGAGAGAGAGATGCAAAACAGTTTTTTGTTTCCATTATGAAGAGTGTGATCCCACTGGCTAAACAGATCCTGCCCCAACTGATCAGAGGTCTCTGATTAAGAGGACTGTATTTGAGCAGAGCTATAGAAAACTACAGCTCTCGTCCTCAATGACACAGGAGCAGTTTATTACCAAAATACAAACACAGAAAGACTTCAAACCATTTTGTTAGCAGCATACTTCCAAATGCAACATTCCCTTCATCAATCAAGTTTAAATTACGTGGTTTCAGTACATCTGTCCTGCGAAATCGGCTCAGCCCGTTCAAAGAGCAGTGCAAAAGAAGACATCTTTCCATTTAAGTGGCAGACAAGCCTTATAAGACAGTCTCTGGGGTTCTATTCAGAAGACTATTCAATTTGATTTGGGGCACTTTTTTAAACAACCGTTTGGCACTTTCCATTTGGAGTTCTTAGGCACAGTGTGACAGAGTCAGTTTGGTGAGCCCTTCCCCATGCATTCGATACAGCAGCTGAAATTCAGCAGGCAGCTGGTGGGACTCCTGCCACTTGGTGGTAAATTTGGTTCCTTTTTTGTCATAATAATGGTATGGAAGATCTTCCCTTGTGTTGGGGTCAAATCCAAAGGGCCAAAATCCATACAAGTGGATCTCTTCACATATTGCTGATGCAAGGGTGTACATAAGAATACCTGTGCTTAGACGTTTGGGTGACAAATGTTTGTTTTTCCAGTACCTGTGGAACAATAAGTACATGTGGATTCAGAGGCCAGTGTTGAAAACTTTAATCTGATAGGTCAACAAGACTGGGATGGGAGGTGGATTTGTCTAGAATCTTGTTCAACTTGCAGCCTCTAGTTTGACTGCTCTTTTTGAAATGGTTTAACAATGTAAAAAAAGAAGTTCTGTTACTTATACATTAGTTATGTTATGTATTTATATGTGGCTCCCAAACAATTCCTCTTTATTCAGTGTGGTCCCCAGCAAATCAAAAGGTTGGACATGTCTGGATTCTAGATTATTCTAATGACTTTGACAAATCCACCTCATAGCACAGTCATAGTGGCTTTCCCCCTTCCAAATGAAATCTAAAAGTTTACTGACATTGAACAATGAGGAAGCAAAGCAATGAGGCCTAAGAAGACAAGGGACAGCTGACAGAAGACCTGCTTCCAATTTTGATTCTGCCTGCGTTGGGCACTGACTTTACATAAATAAGTCCTGTTCCCTGCACTTCACTTAACCCCATTACCTCTTATTACAAATTAAAAAAATAACTTATAAATTAATGGAATCACCATATTTATTGGAGACATACCAGCTTATTAGACTATGATACCTTCTTTAATGAGAGGTCAACTAAATAGATCGCAAGCTTAGAAGACTTTAGGGGACCACAGAATGGGGATAACCTACTGTGGGATGAAAATCTTTAGGTTTCCCTGGTTATCAGGTCTTCAAGAAGCTATTGTAAATTACGACAACATCTGGTGCTCTGTTAGGACTGGAGTTTCTTATCTAGGGAAATTTAGAATTGAAGTAGTTGATCAGATGATTTAAAGAAAAAATACTACAGTTGCTTTATAGAATCCCCTGGCTATGGTTTTCAATTCTGAATGCACATTAGAATCATTTGAAGAGTTATTAAAAACATAAAATACCTAATCCACACTTCCTTTCCTACTAGAAAAATTACATTAGACTCATTAAACTATATATTTTAAAGCTTTCCAAGTGTCTTTTTTTTGGTGTTGGGGATTGAACCCAGGACTTCATATCTTCATGTATTCTATTTTTTTTTTCAACAAATAATACACTGCATATATTCTTCTTAGTGGTTAATTGCTGTACAAGATGCGGGCTTGTGATCCTATTTACAAACTCCATTAGAACAAATCATTCTATTCATTAACAGAATGTAACTATATATCTATCCCAACCACTTTGAATACACAGATACAAAATGGACATTCATCTGTATACCCCATTTTTTCTAAGTTCCGTTATTGAATATTATAGGTGTGTAAACTCAGCAAAATATTCTAAAAGAGTCCAGTAGCCCATAATAGCATTGGGTCTTCTGTTTAACTGGCAATGTCAGAAATTATTGACCTGAGTCCCCCACAGCTCAACTTAACAGCATGGCTTTATTTCTTATAATTTCGTCTTCATACTTTTCTGCTGGATGGTTAAGACCAAGGTAAAGCAGGACCTATGCAGCAAGAGTTGTAGCTATTTGGTCTGAGAAGGTCTCTTCATGTATTCTAGGCAGGCACTCTACTCTTGAGCTACATCTTCACCCCTCAAGAGATTCTTTTTATAGCGAGACAGGAAAATCACAAGACTAGATGAAAATATGGAATCACTGGTCAGTGTATCAAAGTCATAATAGGTAACAGTGGAATTGTATAATGCTTTTCACAAGTTTTTGTACTCAAATATCGAATTATAAAGACATTACACAGTCTGTGTTTTATCTATGTGGTCTGCTAATCTCTGACATCTACAAAACATCTAAACATCAAATGAAAGGGTGAATTTTAAGTCAAATGCACCTTCTTTAAAACTTTGCCTTTTATAATTTAGTTATTGGCATTATCTGGATATATTTATTTATATTACATTTATTTCAAGAGAATTTCTTGATTTGTGATAGTTCCTACGACTGTTTAAGAAGCTTACCACCAAGACAAGGGCTAGAGAGTGGGAGAGAGCTGGGAAACACTAATTTCTCCATTTGGCACTTAGCTACTATCTGGAATGTAGGTTAAATTTTTAAACTAGGATGATTCATCCATTCATTACAAATGACAGTAGTTTCCTCTAAAGTGCTAGACTAACCACAACAATGAACTAATTGGTGGTTCCTACCCTCAAGACTACAATACTAATTTGCCATCTGGTGGGGTATGAGTTAAAAGCAATAAAATATACACACCTGTTGACATGCTGCATTATATTTCCAGGCCAAGCCAACTGCACTTTTAACTGACCTCTGTGTTCAACAAAAAAGTCAACTAATGTTCGGGTAACAGTTGCTGAAGTGTGGAAGAAAAATGCAGGGATCCAAAGAATGGCCCCATCAAGCTTTTTTAAGCTGAGGAAAAAGTTGTTACGGTCTTGAATGGTCAAAAGATTGTTGTAATATTTTTCCAGGATGCTGGGGTTGAAGGTGGTAAGGTTGGTTTTCCTTCCAACATCTTTCTGGAAAGCCTCCGTAGGGGCAAAATTGCAACGAAAAACAAAATCTGATTTATCTATTTCTTGTCCACACTGGCTCCCTGTCAGGATTCCACTATTTCCAACCACAGCACAAATATTGTAGTGCTTATTCACAATGGGTGACACATCTGGAAGCAGTGATCGGAAGTTATTGCTAATAGAAAAAACATATTTATGGCTGGAATAATCATAGTGCATCAGTTGTCCAATCCGAACACTATTCTTGGTCAAAGAAAAATTTTTTATTACATCGACATGCTGAAGAATTTCTTGCCTACAATAAAAAGAAATTCATTAAATGCATTCCACGGAAAAGAATGAGTTTCCGCCTTATGTCTTACACTGCCATTTCACTCAGATACGAATCTTAAGCACATTAAATACAAGAAAGATTACATATTCATAATTGTGGGCTTTAAAGTTAAGACTGCTTCAGAATATACAGACAAGTTCTAATCTTTGAGTTCTGGATATAATCCTTTGAGGCTGTAAGCACTGCTTACAATTTTAGCTGCCATTTCTTGTCTTTCTGCTCTATTTGAGGAGTGTATTTAACCCAAGATGAGGCATATGCCAAACTGTGACAGAGAATACAGGGAGACAATTTACACAGGCCCTAAAGAGCTCATATTAATGCACAAACAGTGGTGACTTGGAGTATGTAACTAGGGACTACTTGTTTGTTATTGGACTTCAGTGTTGAAGAATATCAAATATCACTGTTGTCCAAACATGGGCCACATACATATGGGTCAGTACAGCACTATCTGTTATTAAGATATAAAAATGGGAATAGCGGTGTGTGTAGTTGAATGGTTAATAGAAATGAACTGATAATCTTATTAAAGCTCTTTGGATAATGAAACAAGGATTTTTTTGGTGTGTGTTTGATTATATAGAAACACAATATAGTGGCTTAGATCTAATCCTTAGAAAAAGAGGCTACTATAAACCTAAAAATGTGTTAGGTTCTAACAACACAGAATAATCAAAACAAGAGTGAGACAGAGAACTAGGTTCAGGTTGGTTTTATAGTCATCCTCTTATAGTCTCAGCTATTTAAAATATTTAGAGGCCAATAACATGTTACTTTGCTGTTACATTCTCCAGGACTAAGAAATTACAACGAAACTCTTATGCTGTTTGTCAAAAATCAGCAGGAATAAAATGAAATATTTGGGATATCAAAACTTTATTTTGACTGTGATTTCAAAAAATGATTTTATTATTCAACATACTGTGTAGAGCAACATAATTTAGTCTAAAGTTATCAGTATTGTTCTTACTAGCTGCTGTAGTTGAAAGACAAGTTTAAACCAATACTGGCAAAAAATAATTAAAGATTACCCAATAAATGGATTGAAAGGGAACTTTTGAGAAGGAAACGTTCTTCTGACTGGATTGGTCATTAGGGTCACACAACCTAGTGTGGAAAAAATACTTCCATTGAGTCAGAAATGTGTACTGTGGAAAGGTATAATGTGTTCTACTCTTTAAAATTTTGAGTTGCCTATAAAATTAATACAGGATTAAAATCCAAAAGCTTAAAAAAGCAGTTGCATTTAGAATTAGTCATTTTCCATGAATGCAAACAAATACTTAAAAAATTGTAATGATAATCATATGACTGTATATCCAATTTTCAAGTAATATTTTCTTGACACGATGGATATCTATTAGATTTGTTCTAATTTGGCAGTACAATTTTTTTTTAAAAGGGCAATAACTAGAGATGCTATGCCCCAAACATAACTCCTTAGAGTGGTTTGTGAAATAAATATTCACCCCCCTAATGAGTACACTAGATGGCTCACACTGCATTTTGCAGCACAATAGTCTTATCAAGAAGGAAGAATTTATCTGTGATTCTAAAAGATCAGTATCACCTATGACAATAATTAAATTTGAAGAAATTTCATCTCTCTCTCACCTAAAAACACTGAACAAGGCTGTTAAAGCTCAAAAGAATGATGTATGATATTAGACAGCTTTTTAACAAGCCAATGTTTATGAAAACAGTCAAAACTGAAACTAAATCTTAAATGCCTGTGTATACTTGGGGCCCATATCTCTACCAGTTATTTGACAGAGATAGGTTATATTTTCTGTTTTGGTAAGATAATACAATTTTATTTTGTGTGTGTGTGTGTGAGAGAGAAAATGAGTGTACTGGGTGGTCCTTTTGCAATTAATATCTGAAAAAAGTTGGCAGCTTTGGTAGTCTTAGCCAAGCTTTAGAAGCCAAGCTTCTACCATATATGCTCAATCAAGGCTAAGTAGACAAATACACATTGTTGCTATTCAAATTCGCTGTCCTGACCCTTCCCTTTTGAGAGGGTACTACACATTTTTGAGAGCACTACCAGTCATTGCCTTGTGCAGTCAGGCCAGGAAGGCAATGCAAACGCACAGGGGAGGGCTTATACTTTTATTGTTTCGGATCTGTTTGTTGTGATTTTTGAGCCCCCCAAATTCCAAAAGACCTTTTGGATATTCTCCTCCTATCCTACCTTTGACGTAAAAACGCTGTCCGATTAAAGGTCCACTTAGGCTTCTCGTGGAGCTCCTGGGTGAGAGAATTCGTAATGGGCACAAAGGACGGGTCTAGAAACTTCAGCGCGAACTGCGACCTGGAGGGGGCATGGGGACACACAGGTGCGGCTCAGCGCGGGGCGCCGCGGGCCCTCGAGCCCACCGGCCGGGCGCCCCAGCCCTCTCGCGTTGCGGGCACCCTCCGCTCTCGCACGCACTCGGGGGAGAGGAGGAGGAGGAGGAGGAGTCGCGGAGCGCACCTGGCGGCCCCGCGGCGCTGCGCGGCCCCGCGCGGCCGTAAAATGGCCGGCACGCGGCGCGCAGGGCGGCCGAGTCAGCACCGCGGACAGCGCCGCGCGCGGGCGCCGGTTTCCGAACCCCCGCGGAGGAAGCGCGCGTCGGGGCGAAGGCGGGGCGGCTCCCGCCTCCCCTCGCCCTAGCCATCCCCGCGTCCGAGCGCGTCCCCTGAGGCCCGCCGGGGGAGCCCCGCGGCTGCGCTTGGCCGCCCAGGCGGGGCTTTTTCCGTCGCGAAGCGGGTCTGCAGGCCCCGCGGGAGCTGGGGG